CAAAATACGTAAAAAAGGTGGTACTTGTTATTACCCTGCCTGCGCTCACCATTAAGGGGATAAACCATGGACTGGTCGGCTCGAAGTCAGTATAATGTGTCTGAGTGGGGTATCACCTTAACTCTTCTGACAAGCAATGAGCGCTTGGAACCTTTCTGGCCCAGGTCCTCAAGGGAAGTAACCCAATACTTATGTTACAAATAATGGACAAAAAGGAGCTCCTTTATAAAAGTTATCCTAACGTTTTGACAGTCGTAAATCCCGTCTCAAGGAAGACCTAGTGAGTGAGTGAATACAGTTTTAATCCACAGTAAACTGAAAACAGAGAATGATTGAGCGTCGGTAGCTGACAGAAATATTCCCCATCTATTCGTGATAATTCTACTGTCGGATCTACATAATTTCACTACCGCTGACACGTGGTTATAGCTTTGTCCGAAACAGCCAAGCATATCCGGTTAACGACATGTCATTTCCGCGGGCCGTGTTGTTTCTAGTGTTAATCAGTTTTCGTGTTTATTTTCTGTAGGCTAAATGCGAACAACAGAGATATCAAATAAGCATTTAATCAAAAACGTTCCTTTTTGTCTTGTTTTGATGTCTTGAACTTTAGTAAGTAATTTATTACGACTTTCTATCCACGAAGCTTCGGCGAATGGCTTCTGTTGATATTGCAGTCCGGGTTTGTCTCTTCAAAAGCCACCTCAAGATACGAAAGTCGTTGAACATGTTTTATCCTTTCAAAATAAGGCCGAAGGCTATATCAGATTGAAAAGATGATGAAAGACACAATGATATCGTTCCGGCGTAATCTGGATTGTTTAAATACAGGAGATTTGGGTAATACTACGAAAATGCGGAATTTTGGTTTAAATACAACATGTTTACTTCATCAAATTACGATTTTCCTTCCAGATATTTCAAATGTGACAAATATTTGTAAACAACTCAATTCTTCAAACGCCGTGATATTATAATAAATAATATGAAAACACTGACGCCATGAAAATGTGACATGAAAATTCCTCAAAGCTGAGTATTTAATATACTAAAATGTCACAGAGTAATGACTACAATAAAGAGTACTTAAATACTCATTGTGTACTCTTTAAAAGTACTTTCATGTTTGCAAGAAGATCCAAGCTAAATATTCAATATCATGCTCCGAGAAACCCGTATACCAAATTTGGCTCGAACTCTGAGAAACAAAGGCATTGACGGGAAAGACGAATAGTTATAATCACTTACTAAATACCTACTGACGTAGGCAAGGGGTAGTAAATTTCATATTCGTGGCCGCGTTTTGGCATGGAGTTCTCCAGATGGTGTTATGTGGGGAGGGTTGGGACTACAGGTTGCTCGTGTTTGCTGAGGGGCTGGTAACGAAGGGATTACAGTTCCTCTACGTCGCTCTTGATCTATCATCGTGTGCGATGTCTCGCTTACTTAATGCATTAAGTGGCAACACGTGGTCCCGGGGGTAATCCTACACTACGCTGGTGGTAAGGTCTTGGGGGTAGGGGACTCCGGCTGGGGGTTAGGAACATTGGTGGGGGTAGGGAGCAGGAGTGGTGAGCTTAGTGTAAGATGGACACATATATGAAGCGATAGAGGCATTTGTGTAGGTGGGGCTTTTCCGTCTATCGGAATGGGGTCGGCTGAGGTAGGGATGGGGAAGGTTGTTTTTCCTTCTTCTTTTTCTCTTTTTTTTTGAGGGGGGGGGGGGGGGGGGGGGGGGTGATAAAGGGGACGGGGGTGATGGGAATGGGGGTCGGGGTTATGGTTTGGTGGTGTTCTGGTAGGTTATATTGTAAATAAATCATAAATCGACACATTGGTAAGATTGTGGGATTTCAATAAACAATGTACTCCACAGTGGGCCTCTACATCATCAAATATGGATCGACAAACAACTGGTTGAAACAAAGACACACAAACAGCCAGGTTTCAGATTGTTACCGCCCGATCATCGTCTTAATAGGATCTTACAACCGGTGCATGTGTACTCGGAACCTATTCTGCCCAGAAGTACCCGAGGGTCAACACATTAGAAACAACAGCTCTGGTGGCACCTTAGGGACGGAGCGTCAACATTAATGAACATGTATATTGTATATAAAGCACAAAGTAAATGCAATGACTACCCCTATACTCGAATAAGGCCAAACGGAAGCCATATCGAGGAAAGAGAACCTGGAAAGTGTTTTATAAATATTAAAACCACAACTATGCGGGTGATGAGTAGCCACAGCGGCTAACACATATTAATACAATTTCCGAGTATAATATGAACGATTATTAACTGTATTATATTGATGATGAGCTGTGCCAAGGGTAAAGCTGCGAATGGCAGTGCAACTCATTCAAAGTCTTCAATAGATTGTATGTCGATGCTAAGAAACATTTATGAGTATTTTCTGATTATTAATTATCCTACCATATCATTTTAATTGTGCATTGTTGATATTGATGCACAGATCATGGAATTTACCCGTTGACCAAATCCGATTTACTGACCACGTCTCAACAAGACACAGCAAGCCATTATAAACGTATTACCTCGCGGCTGACGGACGACGGACAGATCATACACGTGACAGCAATTTGCGATCGTTATCACATCAGTTTACCTGAGTCGCTAATTACTATACATGGGTCGAGATAGGTACGTCAATTTACAGAACCGTCTGACATAATCTCGGTATAAGATACACCCAGATTACCGGTGTCAGTCTGCTACCAACGGACGGCCACTACAGTCCCTATGTGTCGCCGTGTCAGAGACCCCAGCGTGGGGGGACATAAACCTAAGCGTTACAAAACAATCGGGGATTAATCAATCGGACTAAATCTCCCCACACCTCCAAACGTCAGTAAATAATGTTACCACGATAGCTTCACCGCCCGATCTGGGTAATATGGTCGATGACTGCGAGGAAGCTTATGCAGCCGTGTATCAGTCATAATGATGGTTCTAGGGGTCTTGTCTGACAAAGTTAACAGAACAGCTTTGTGAGTCAGCGCCCAATGTAGCTTCGTTATATACTGCTCAGCTTTTGGTAGGGATAATCAGATATGGTATTCTTTATAAATATGCCTTAGCGGATTATTACAATATGTTTTATGTATCGTAGAAATATGAAAATACCCCTATCAGTGAATGAGCATAGTTTTATACCGCTTTTAGCACTATTCCAGCAATATGATGGTCCGGGACACCAGAAATCGGCTTCACACGTTGTACCCATCGGGGGAATCGAACCCGGGGCTTCGGTGTCTAAGCTGTAACCACTAGACTACCCCACCGCCCCAAATATCATTATCAAAGGTTAATTGGAATTTTGTACTATCAATTTTTGTACTCTTAGCTCGTTTATACCACTGAAACAATACCGATGTTACTTTTTTACTCGCCCACTTTACGCTCAAAAAGAGATTTGTATTTATTTTTAAAAAAATTGTCTGCATGATTTCGTAATATAAACAAAATATTGCTTTTGGTGGATAATTCACATATAGCCCCGCAAGACCAATTTTGAAATAGGTTCAGGATTATATATACGCCGTCAAAGTAACTTAGATTATATTGCAATTTTGAAATTATTCGTCGTTCATATTTCCGGCTTATCATATTTCCGGTGTCAGATTTTTGAGATGACTCAGACAGAATAGACCACTTGAAAACATTAATATATTTAACAGGGTTGGCAAAAAGAAATATTTTTAATGTCAGGCTCTCAAAGTATGTTTTAACGATGCAAATTCCATTATTATCTAACCGAAAACAAAAAGTACCGCACAAATCAAATGTCTAACTTAAACTGTCAACGAGGCGAGACAGAAATAGTTAACACTGAAATCCGATACATATACTCATTACGTTGAGGAGCCGTAATGATGGCCATTACCGTTATACAGTCTTTCATTGCGATTAATACATAACCACATTATGATAATAACTGGCCTAATAGTAAAATCAACATTAAAAGTATTGACCGTGCAGTCATGACATAAAATGAAAAATCGAAATCACATCCCGATCACAGGTAACTGAAACGCCGTAAAAGTGCACATATTGTTTCTTCTCCGCGGCGTATTGATTAATCAAATTTAAGAGGTTTTTTGAAGGAGTCGACATCAACCTTCCGTGGGTTACCATCCTGGTCTCACGGCCGTGTAATCCATTTCATTATGTGACGACAGGGCTGTCAAATCTATGGGAGCAGAGAAAGTACCTGGTTTATGTATTGAGCTATAACCCGCTTCCCCGTGGAATCGCATTGAACGCCAAGTAATCTCCAGTTATAACAGTCTCTCGTAATATTTCCAACACCTTGTCATAAACGACTTCCCCCATCAATGAGGTGTAATGTACATGCGATATTGACATGTCTTACATTTCAACGCGCCGGTTTATGTGTCTAGAGTTCCGTATACCTGTCGTGGAGGTGATCAGCTGATTGGAAATCAATCAGCTCATTGATCACCACTAGATTAAGGGGATATGGAAAAATCGAAATTTAGTGGGTCGTGGTTTGAATTTGAAATTTATCAGAGGCTTAATATGTTATGTTTGTGACTGTGAAAGCTGCCCCAAGTTACCCACATTGCATGTAGCAAAGATCATACTGCTTCAATCACTGATGAAATTAACAAAGGAAATGTTGAAATCTACACGATTCCGTCCATATAACTGAAATGAGCACTATATATCAAATCAAAAGATCAGCGGGGACCAATTATTGCCACAGACGTACAATATTAAGCTTTTATAACAAATATCTTTGGGATAAAATGAACCATAGTGTGTTTACACGTTGGACTTCTACGTTTAGTTTAACTCGGTGTGCAATATTTTATTTTTACACTATCTGAAAACAAATATGAGCATTCATATGATAAAAAAAACACGTGTTGAAAAGTGCAATCAACTCACTCGACATTACTGGGGATGTTAATGATGAATATTATTATTATGAAGAAATTGCCATCTCACTCACCTTATCCAAACATTTTGCTCTACATCTTCCGATTTTCACAAGTGGTCCACTGATCGGTTCACAATCCACCAATACGTCTGCACACCACATCCAGCAAATCACAGTCAACAGGTATCTCCACATAATGGAAGTGTTTACTACACAGTATTATACATGGGCACAATCAGTTGCAAACCAGACAACAAACTTTCCCCCGATCATCTCGCTGATCCGCCGAACCACTGGAAGATTGACAAATGGTGTGGGAAATGTTGTACGAACTCCTTGTGGATATCGCTTGGCGTTTTTCATGCGTATCCTGGCGCGGTATTGACGAAGCTTGTTTCACCTCGAGTGCTCGCGCGAGTCTTTACTCGTGAACATCATGCGTGGTCGCTGATTGGTTAGCTGGGGTGTGACTTCTCAAGCTGCAGAGGTAACGAGAGATGCACGGTACCAACAAAGCCCGACCCCCTGTCGGCGTCCGACTTGTGTTTCTGAACTGTTACCTGCCAATAGACAGCAAGCACATATGTAAGCAGTGCTTAGATCGTGCTTATTACACGCACATCGATTTCAAATCTTGAACGGCATGCACATGTCTAATACGTTTTTGCAACTGCATGAAGACTGATCTGTTGTTTTGTGTGTGTGGTGTTCCGCGTATGGCGCGCGCGCGCGTGTGTGAGAGAGAGAGAGAGAGAGAGAGAGAGAGAGAGAGAGAGAGAGAGAGAGAGAGAGAGGGTTGGTTGGCATACATTTCTCAAAGTATAACACGCATGTTAATTTCTTTCCATTTTGTTTAACTTTTGTGAATTTAATGTCAGTAAAATATATGTCAAAGTGATAAAGAGCAACATAAACCTATTATAGAATAAAAATTATACAATTTCTGATTATATAGACATTTCCATCGGAGGTAAGAAACAGTTTCAAGCGTTCATTCAATTTTGATATATTCGGGTTATTCGTGTTTTTGTCACATACTATAACTGTAGCTTGTAGTTTGTGTTACACTGTATTTTTGTATTGTGAACCCAGGACAGAGACCCTCATACGAGATCTGTGCGGCCAATCGGTTGTGTTTACGAGGCATAGTTTGTTTGTTTGTTGTTTAACGCCGCACCCGGCAATATTCAAGCTATATGACGGCGGTCTGTAAATATTCGAATCTGGATCAGACAATCCAGTGATTAACATCATAAGCATCGATCTACGCAATAGGGATACGATGACATGCATCAACCAAGTCAGTGAGCCTCACCACCAGATCCCGTTAGTCGCCTCTTTCGACAAGCATAGTCGCCTTTTACGGTTGCTGAAGACCTATTCTAACCCGGATCTTAACGGGTCTTACGAGCATAGATATACATTCTTTGACTAATTGATACCATGTAACAATATAACATACGCGGTCTATTATCATTTACTGCAAAATTATACTGTTCCTGCAACTGCAACACTCTCACTATGCATATAATAAATCAAATCACCAACAAATTCAGTCCCTTCAATACAAATACTCTAAAAACAACTTTAAAAAATCATATGAAAATTTCTCAACTATTTTGAAATCCGAGGGTTGATATGCTCTCAACACACTAAAGTAAAGATTAAACGATTAATCACACCACTTGGAGCCACGACTACCCAACCATTCTCTAATGCGTGCAAGGAAGACGGACATGGACGCGTACATGGTTTTGGCTTATCGGCTCACTTGTATTTGAAAGATCAGAAGGCTCAAATATCGCTTGAAATGTAAATAAAATTACTGCAATAGTTGGCGCAACACACACGTTGAGGAGGGAAAATAACCATGAAGACACCATATGCTCTAGTTCTTGCTTCCAAACAAGCAAACAGACAAACATTCTTCTAACCTATTTAACTTCGGCACACTCGAACTACCCTGGGGATTAAGGGCGTTAGGCTAAGTTACACGCGTGTAAAATGATTTAGATTAAAATCTTCACATGGTTTCTGAAAGAGTTTCCGGAAATGTTTCATATTTTCCAGTTTTTACAGAATAGCTGTAGGCAAGATATGCCGATGGTGGAATAAATTGAAAAAAGTGTAAGTGGTGTTTAAAAGGATTTTTTACTTTTGAAAATTGCGCTTTCTTTTTATTTCTCCCGAATAGGAAGGCTCATTCCTACAACTGAACTGGCACGAGATTTCTTCCTTCACAAACACTCTACAGGCTTGGAGAAATTACTACTAGTAATGATAAGAACACTACTACTACTACTACTACTACTACTACTACTACTACTACTACTACTGCTGCTGCTGTTGCTACTACTACTACTGCTTCTACCACGACTTCTACTACTACTACTACTCTACTACTTCCGCTAGTACTGCTACTACTACTATTGCTGCTGCTACTACTACTGCTGCTATTATTTATACTACCATGCTACTACTTCTACTAATATACAACTACTACAACTACTACTTCTACTACTGGGGCGGTCGGGTAGCCTAATGGTTAAAGCGTTCACTCGTCACGTCGAAGACCCGGGTTTGAATCCCTACATGGGAAAAGTGTATAAAGCCCATTTCTGGTGTCCCCCGCCGTGATATTGCTGGACTATTGCTAAAAGCGGCGTAAAACGCACTCACTCATTTCTACTACTACTACTCCTACCACTACTTATCCTTCTACTACTGCTACTACTACTACTACTACTACTTCTGCTGCTGCTACTACTACTACTACTACAACTACTGCTGCTGCTACTACTACTACCGCTACTACTACTTCTTCTTCTACTCCTGCTACTACTACTACCAACTGTGAATTTAAAAATTGCCTATAAATAAAATTTATCCATCATGTTAGTCAATGCTTTTGTACTGATAACAGTGGGTGTTCTGGCACTCGGCAATAGACTGAACTAGAATATACCACCTGCTCCTGTAAGAAACTAGCACGTCAATAACATATGTTCTCCAATGCGACCTACTAAAGGAATGCACGTATGCTCCGTGTGCACATATGGCCTACTAAAGGAATGCACGTTTGCTCCCTGTATCTATGTGACCTACTAAAGGAATGCACGTTTACTCCCTGTATCTATTTGACCTACTAAAGGAATGCACGTATGCTCCCTGTATCTATGTGACCTACTAAAGGAATGCACGTATGCTCCCTGTATCTATGTGACCTACTAAAGGAATGCACGTATGCTCCCTGTATCTATGTGACCTACTAAATGAATGCACGTATGCTTCCTGTATCTATGTGACCTACTAAAGGAATGCACGTATGCTCCCTGTATCTATGTGACCTACTAAAGGAATGCACGTTTGCTCCGTGTGCACATATGACCTACTAAAGGAATGCAATTTGCACCCTGTACCTATGTGACCAACTGAAGGAATGCACGTATACTCCCTATAACTATGTGACCTACTAAAGGAATGCACGTATGCTCCCAGTACCTATGTGACCTACTGAAGGAATGTATGTATACTCCCTGTACCTGTGTGGCTACTAAAGGAATGCACATATGCTCCCTATGCCCATGTGGCCTACTAAAAGAATGCAGTATGCTTCCTGTCCCCATGTGACCTACTAAAGGAATGCACGTATGCTCCCTGTACGTATGTGACCTTTTTAAAGGAATACACGCATGTTCCATGTACCAATGTGACCTACTAGAGGAATGCACGTATGCTCCCTGTACCTATGTGTCCTACTAAAGGAATGCACATATGCTCCCTATGCCAATGTGAATGCACGTATGCTTACTGTACCCATGTGGCTACTAAAGGAATGCACGTATGCTTACTGTACCCATGTGGCTACTAAAGGAATGCACGCATGCTCCCTGTACCCATGTGGCTACTTAAAGAATGCACATATCCCCTACACCTATGTGACCTACTAAGCAATGGAATCACCAGCACGTCTCCTCTTTGCAGCAGACAGACTCACGTAGAGGCAATGACGCACTGGGGGAACAACAAAGAAGAACGCCTTGCGTTGCTCCATGGACTGGTAAAAGAATCAACAGAGAAATCCGACACGCACTACCATAGTAATCTGGAGAAAAAGTTCAGGAAGACTTATATAACTCAAGCAGACGACAGCTGGCAGCTGACGATAGGGAGAGAGACATGATGCTGAGGGCTGTTGAATTAGACAACACTGGAAGTCTTGTCAAAATGACACAAATCTAACAAATAATTGTCATCATATTTGAAATAGATTGCATGTGGAGTCTTATGTTTGTCTAACCTTGTGACCCTGTGACTTCGCTTGATCGAACTGTTTCACCCAGCCACCAACGCACTATTCACCTATATTGATCTAATTCATCCTACCAAATACCAACCATGCACCTATCACTGGATCGTACTCACCTATCAACCAATCTATAACCCACATTGACTAGATGTACCCCATCCATCCACCCACCCACCACACACGTGTCAATGGATCTAGCCCAACCATCCACCACACTCTTACCACTGGACCGTACACCAACAACAGCCGCGAACTTATCAGATGTTCGAACCCACGCATTCATCCACCCAACTCACCCATCCGCAACTGGATCCAACCTAACCACCCACCAACCATCTATCACTGGATCTGAACCAACCTTCAACTATCACAGGATACCACCACCACCCATCACACACCTATCATAGGGTCTAACCCAGCCATCACTTGACACAGCTCATCCATCCGCAACTGGATCCATCCTAACCACCCATCGCCCACCCATCACTGGATCTAAACCAACCATCCAGCCGTCACTGGATCGAACTCCACCGCCACCCACCACACACTTATAACAGGGCTCGACCCAGGCATCCAGCCGTCACTAGCTCGAACTCCTCTATCCACCACCCACCACCTGGACACAAGGTCGAACACAACTATCCACTACAAACCACCCACTTATCAAAGGGTCTAACCCAGGCATTCACCCACCCAGCCATCACTTGACTCTACTCATCCATCCGCCACTGGATCCACATAACCATCCACCACCCACAATATCTGGATCTAATCCACCAACCCACCCACACATAAGTGGATTTATCATATAATGGGTAGGTTTCTCGGCAGGATAAAGCCAACGGATAAAAACGATATCCGTTGGGGTCATATGCGGATAGAGATGCAAATATCAAAGGTCAAGTAGGACTACTTTCACTGTTTATAAACAAACATGGCGTCGCCCTCGTCATTCTGCGATCGAGTCAGAATTAACCATCGGGAATCTGGATAAACTACAGGGATAATGGCTATCATTATCAACAGAACACCCTAATATGCTGAAAATCAGTATCTAACTGTGACGTAGCTAAGGCATTTATAAGTTTTGGCAACTTTGGAAATATAAATTTCGAAACAATTTTGCGAGGGCACGAGGCCTAGCCAAGCGGGACCAGTAGCCATATATCTGTACTTGTAGACCTCTGCGGCTTGAAACCTTCTCCACAAATTAAAATAGTTGGATTTGGCCGAAATATGTTTGAATTGTTA